TGATTTAGTTATTTGCACACACCTTTGCTTGCCTTTCCCAGCAGACTGCAGGCTCCCCAAAATGAAGACCTCACTGTGGAGTCACCAGCGAGCGCCCTTTACGAGTACTCTGCCTGCGGAGTAAACTAAGTGAGTGCACCTGTGGCACACACGGGCTGCAAATTAAAATCACTTTATTTGAGAAAGCTAAGCCCAAATCCAAACCAGTGCCCAAGCCCCGACCCCATAGCCTCCAGCTTAATTGGCATGGCAGGGAGCCGGCTTCAGGGGTTTTAGAAAAGCTCCTCAGGGGATTCTCCTGACTTGGGTGGGGCCGAATGGACTATGGGGCCCATTAAGTTATTACCTAAATCTTACAATGGGGAAAAAGGCTTCTTAAAAGTAGTTTGTAAATGACTAGAGGAGAAAGAAAATTCAACTGATTTGCAGCAATGATAGTGGCCAGGAATGTCACACAGAGATGGCACTCAAATCACCCTGGAATTTCCAAGGAGTGGAAAGCGGTATGAGGGGTCTTGGGCGGTGAGCATCAGTGGGCTGCTGTGGTGGCGGCAGCCATGGATACGGTTTTTCCCTTTCTGTCTTCTTGGTTCTGAAGAACTGACAAACTCCAGACAGAGAACTGGAAGGAAACATTCTCTCTCTCTCTCTCTCTCTCTCTCTCTCTCTCTCTCTCTCTCTCTCTCTCTCTCTCTCTCTCTCTCTCTGTCTCTCTCTCTCTGTCTGTCTCTCTGTCTCTCTCTCTCTCCTCCCCTCTCCTCTGCTCTCCCTTCCCTCTCTCTCCCTTCCTCATGGCTCTGGACACAAATTGTGGGTCCCCACCTAGCTAGGACATCTGAAAGATGGCCCCATCGTGACTTCAGTGTGGAGAGGAAAGCTGGAGTGAGCGAGGAGGAGAGAGGAAAAGAGGCGGTCCAGGAAGCGCTGGCAGTGTCTGTAAGCACAGACTCCCGAGCTGTGCACAATGGTGAGGAAAAAGGGAAGACCCCAGTGAAGGCAGAAGCCCTGGGGTGTCTCCTAAGGGAGTGTGACTCACCTAAAATCAGTGACCCACAAATGCAGTCGCGGTCTGTGAATATTCATGTTGACTCCCGTATACAGGGTTTGTGATAATAATAATAATAATGATGATGATAAACCAACTCCAAAACCTTACCTTGACACACCAGGGTTTAGAACTGGGGTCTGAATGACTACTACAAATGTAGTTAAACATTTCCCCAACTCTAGGGACTCCTGCGTTCCCCGTATGGATTTAAAGGGAATGAGGTGGCCTATGCTTCAAGGGTGACCTATTTACCCCCAAAGGCCGCCACTTGCCAGTCTGTCTGACCTTCCCTGCGAACGCATGGGCTTTGCAAGGAATTGCTCAGGACACACTCCTGCCTTCTCCCCACCCCCTCTCCCCTCCTTAATTCACCACTCTTTGTCAAATACTGCCTTTGCAAGTAAGGGGTAGCATGAGCCGGGCGCTGATTGTCGTGGTGTGTGTTATTCATGTGTCCAGGTTCTCCTTTGCATCACAGGTGCCTGGAGGCCAGGAGAAGATCTGGGACTTGGATTAAACCCTGCATTCTTGGAGTCATCCTGCTTTCCAGACACTGCTAGTGAGGCTGTCAGTCAGAACTGCCGGTTTGTCTCCAAATGGGCCACCCTTCTGAATGTCACCCAGAGACAGTAGCACTGGGTGCCCCGGGTCTGTTAGGAAGATTCAGCGTCTTCCCGGCAATCAGCTGTCCTGCCCTCTGCTTTGCGAGGCTGGGTCAAGATCTCCAAACTAGTTTTGCCTCGTCAGCTTTTTTAGTTAACCCCTGCTCACAATAGGGAAAGCCTGCTCTTTCCACTGCCGCCACGGGAGCAGCATCCCCCCCCCCCCCCCCATACCCTTGGCAGCAGTTGGGACTTTCGACATCATCATTCCACATTTCCAGAAACCTCGGCTGTGTTCCAAAGGGAGGCAGTGGCAGCCCCTCCAGGTCTGAGACCCAGTGCTCTAAGGAGTCTTTCTAGTTCAGGTGAGTTAAAAAAAAAAGTCTTCAGTGCCTCCCCCAACCCCAGGAACGGTAGGCGCGTCCAGAAATTACCCTCTGAGCGGCCTCAGTGAATTCCCTCTAGCTCCCTGGCTCCCAGCCTGTGTGGGTCAAGACCCCTTGGGGTGGGGGGGCGTCAAACAATCCTTTCATAGGGGTCACCCAAGACCATTAGAAAACACGGATATTTATACTATGATTCATAATGGCAGCAAAAATCAGAGTTATGAAGTAGCAACGAAAATAATTTTATGGTGGGGGCGGGCGGAGAGGGGGTTCCGCCGCAGCAAGAGAACCATACTAAAGGGCCGAAGTACGGGAAGGCAGGACCGCCGCTCTAGCTGCACCTTGGGCTTGCCGCAGAGGGCTTCACCTGCAGGGCAGACCGGATGTGGGTCCACCCCGGCAGCTCCCATGCAGCCACCCTGGGGCTGTGGTCTCAGAGTTTGCTCTGCTGATGGAGCTCCCAGGTGATGTGGGTGCTGTCCACCTGGGGATCCCACCTGAGCCACTGCCCTGCTCTAAGTCTAGAGGGCTCAGAGGTGAAGGGCCCTGGCTGCCCTTCCAGCCGTCCTGAGTTCAATTCCCAGTCACCGCACGGTGGCGGCTCGCAACCGTCTGTAGTGAGATCTGACGCCTCTTCTGGCCTGCAGGTGTTCCCGCAGATAGAGCACTCACACACATGAAATACATCTTGAAAAAAAAATTAAATCTCTGTTGAGATCATTCGTAGATTGTCTACTTCCTGGCTGCTCACAGACCCAACTTGTAGTCTACCAGTGTGGCTTGGGATGCTTAGCGGGTGACATGATCCCCAAATGTTTAACCCGTGGCCTTCCCGGGAGACTGAGGTGCTGTCTCCGCTTGCACATCCCACCTTGAGCTGTACCTTTGTCACCCAGGTCCAAAGCTAGTCCTTCGCCACACTCCTGCCTGCTGCTCTCTGGTACAGGTCCTCCTGCCTCTATGGGCTGCACTGTCAACTTTATCCCAGCAGGGTTCTTATTACTCCCACCTGCGGCATGTAGGCGATCCAGCTAACATCAGCCTTCCAGGCTTGCTTTCCAAAGTCAACAAATGCTTGTGAATTTGTGTTTTTTTTAAAAATATGTACAGAAAACTTCATGCTGGCTGCTTTTGCCAGAGATTAATGAGAACTCACTCCTTGGGCTGCCCTCAAAGAGTACCCATTACTGTAATAAAGTTGTGTTATATATGTATAAGACATGTGGAGGAAGTATTAGCAGAATCCCTACTGGGCAGTGATCCTTTTCGTTGGGTGGATATCTTGGTTAGTAAGGTATGAATGGGGACCACCTTAAGTGTGTGTGTGTGTGTGTGTGTGTGTGTGTGTGTGTGTGTGTGTGTGTGTGTGTGTATACTGTCTTCTGAAACCCACTAGCCCCTGTTGACTACAGGGCTGTTTTCCAGGCAGTCACCTGTACAAGTCCTCGCTGGAGTTGGCTTGTATGGGAGAAGAGAGTAGTGTTAAGAGGAATGAGTCTGTGCTGGCTGTCTCAGAGCTGGCTGCTAAGGGCAACTTCAAAGGAGAAAGAAATTGTCCAACAGGGGCCTTCATTAGATTTTTGGCTGTCATGAGCTGTAATGGCCCAGAAACCAGAAATCATCAATAGAACATAATAGGATGTTGAACTGATCTGTAAGTTTAGAATGGTGTAAAATCAGGGACTTCCTATGGAAAGATAGTCACATATGAATTATGTAAATAGATTTCATTTTCTGTCTTTTTTTCCTCCTTCAAAAAAATAAGTTATAGGCACCTTGTGGCACTGACTAGATTTTACATCTTTTTCATTAACCCAGTGATAAAGTGAAATGTGTTTACCAAAATACCAACATTAGTCTCCATGAAGCACTGACAACCCTGAATACAGTTATTCATCTGTGATGAAAATTTCTTATTTTTCTTATTACAAATAAATAAATGCACACTAGTGGACATTTAGAAATATTGATCACCAGGCCAGGCAGTGGGGGGCGCACACCTTTAATCCCAGTACTCGGGAGGCAGAGGCAGGCAGATCTCACTGAGTTTAAGGCCAGCCTGGTCTACAAATCAAGTTCTAGGACAGCCAGGATTGTTACACAGAGAAACCCTATCTTGAAAAACAAAACAACGAAACAAAAAAGAAAGAAAAGAAATATTGATAACCATGAGCAAAAATAAGACCATCCATAGTTTCAATCCACAGAGATAACTACAGCTAACAAAGTCTCCCCACACATCTCCACAGAGATAACTACAGCTAACAAAGTCTCCCCACACATCTCCACAGAGATGACTACAGCTAACAAAGTCTCCCCACACATCTCCACAGAGATGACTACAGCTAACAAAGTCTCCCCACACATCTCCACAGAGATGACTACAGCTAACAAAGTCTCCCCACACATCTCCACAGAGATGACTACAGCTAACAAAGTCTCCCCACACATCTCCACAGAGATGACTACAGCTAACAAAGTCTCCCCACACATCTCCACAGAGATGACTACAGCTAACAAAGTCTCCCCACACATCTCCACAGAGATGACTACAGCTAACAAAGTCTCCCCACACATCTCCCACACATAAACATAACCCCTATTGGTGTGCAAGTGAGAAAGAGTATATATCTAAATAAGCAATTCCATCAACATATTATGTGTATATTTTCTGTATTCATGGTCCAACAGGTTCATAGTATTTGTAAAATCTTACTGCTGTTTTAATTTTGATACAAACAGCTTCAAAATTATAATGTGAAGACTATATACATCCATATAGACTACTGTAATGTACACAATGAATTCCATATTGTTAGATAGTTATAGTATTTCTCTATTAATTGATGTCATGTATAATACTACAGGAGTATCACTGAATGCATGACATAACTACATTTAGGCAGAGCGTCTTTTGACATGTTGAAAGGCGTTTTGTCTTTGCGGGTAGAATTTTATACTTGCCTGAAATGAAGCTCACGAGATACAGCCCTAAAGGGCCATGTATAGCTTCAAAGGGCTTGCCAAAAGCATTGTACATGAAGAAGGCTGTCCCCACCATGGTTAAGACGACAAGAATCATGGAGAATAGAATGATGTTGACATGGATGCTCACGGGGATGGCTTGGAGCAAATCTGGGAAGACTGAGGATAAACCAAGGATTAGAAGAGTTTTATGATCAGTATTCTGCAGGTGTAGCTTAACATTTAAATCTCCATTCTTTTACACGCTCTCAAAAAATCACTAAAAATCATTTTGATGAATACATTTTTATCCTCACCGTTTTTACAAGAGATTTACACAAAGATTTAAGGATGGGATCATTTCATAGGATTCACCAGTAAAATATGGCACTTGGGGAGTACAGGAAATTCTTCAGTCCTTGATTATATTCAGGTGCTAGATTAATAACTCAAAACTGTACATGTTGATGACCCAAGCTTCAATGACAGTTCTCAACACTTTTAAAACATCTATCTAACCAGGTGGTGGTGGTTGGTGGCGCACACCTTTAGTCCCAGCACTCAGGAGGCAGAGGCAGGCGGATCTCTGTGAGTTCAAGGCCAGTCTGGTCTACAGTGTGAGTTCCAGGACAGCAAGAGCTGTTACACAGAGAAATCCTGTCTCAAAAAACCAAAAAAAGTCTATCTAAATTTTATAATAATATTTAAAATTTGGATGCACCTGGGAGATTTCAATTATCAGGAGGTTTTTATACCACTTTTGTTTGTTATAACATAAAAAGTGGTTCCTAGGCCACAACAATAGTCGAGAATTGGGAATTTTCAATCAGCTTCAATATTTTGATGTAGCACAAAGCCGTGGGAAGATTATTTCTGGTGCGACAAGAAATGTTTTTTTTTTCATTTAGTAAACACGACGAATCTATTTCTAGATCTTGCATTCAGGGCAAGTTATTCTTGTCTGCTCAGGGATGAAAAACCTTACGGATGTCAGCTACGGCGTTGCATCGGCACCCTGGCCTCCTACAAATCTGGGCAGCAAAGGGAAGCGCAGCCCAGACATCTAGCCAGCACCTAACTTACTTACTGAGCACCTACTATGCGTCTGTCACCCATCGCTCTGGGGGCTGGAGCCATAAAACAAGACAAAGACCTAGATGTCTCCCACGGGGCTTAGAACCTGAGTTTGCAGACGACTGGAAAGGGAGCAAGAACTTTCGATTGCTTGTTTCCAAGGTGTTCCCTAAGGTTTCGCCCTTCACATAGGTATCAGCATCACTTCCCCTTTAAGAGGTAGCGTTGTTTCCTCTGCGCCCTTCAAGAGTAACTACATCATGTAGCTTAGCTGTCCTTTACTGTCCTATGATGAAAGACTGCATCTGCTACGTCCAAAACAATTAGTCCTGACCTGCGTGTTAGTCAGGGTGTAGGGAAAGGGAGCCCCTTGTGCACTTCTCTCGGGAGTAAAAAAAAGATGAAGAATGATGTAGAAAGACATCCTTGAGCCTGGGAAATATCTATAAAGCACTGAAACGGCCACACCCTTTAGCTCAACACCGCTCCTTATTTACAGGAGCCTCTCTCAGGCCTATTCAGGCATGTGGGTCCGGTGAAGTATGAGAAGTGTAGTCGCTGCTGAATCTTTGGTGACAGCAAAAGCTTTGGAAGAGTTTGTGTGTCTAACAATAGTGCACCCAATCTCATACAATGGAATTGCACAGAGATCAGAGCAATTCTATAGGAACAGATGTGGAATTATCATCAAAATGTGATGTTAGAGGGAAAGAAACAAACCACATAGAGAGAAACGGGCATTGTCCTGCCTCGGGGGAGAGGGGCGGGGGCAGGAGCGCAGACGGCTGTGTTTATCATGATTGTTTAAGTACTATGCTCTCCTGATTGAATTCTCTAGACAGCTGAGATAGGTATATCATTAAAAACTGAGGCACAATGGGCTGGGGGACACCTCAGTGAGTAAGAACATTTGCTCTGTAAACATGAGGGCCTGAGTTCAAGTCCCCAGAGCCCATGTAAAGAGCAGGGCATAGATGCACATACTAAGCATTGAAAGTCCACGTCACAGTCACTATGCACCTGGAGCCACGCCCAAATGGGTGTGGTCACTAACACAAATACACTGGCAAGGCTAGATGCCACTACACTGGCCAGCCAACCTAGTAAAAATGGTGAGCCTCCCCTCAGAGAAGGAGAGCCCGCATTTTCTTAACCTCTTTCTTTGTTTCTTTCTTTGTTTCCTTCTTTCTTTCCTACATTTATTCTAACAGGGTCTCACTATGTATTCTTAGCTCGTCTGGAACTGGGCCTGGAAATCACTCTGTAGATCAGGATGTCCTCAAACTCACAGCGATCCACCTGCTTTTGGCTCTCGAGTGCTAGGATTGAAGGCCTCTACCACCATGCCAGCAGAGACCCCATCTTAACGGAACAGATGCCAGGGAAGTGAGGATGAAGGCAGTCAGCATCCTTCTCTGGCTTCAGCATCTGCACAGATACTCACACCCATAAAAGCGCCTGTATACACACAAATATACACATGATACACATACAGATACACCTGTATACACACATCCATACACACGATACACACACACAGATACACACACAGAGATACCTGTATGCACACACAGACACACATGATACACGCACAGGATACACACACAGATACACCTGTATGCACACACAGATACACAGACACACACGATACACGCACACACACATGATACACACACAGATACACCTGTATACAAACACAGACACACACACATGAGACACACACAGAGATACACCTGTATACACACACAGAGATACAACTGCGCACACACACACATGAAACACACAGATACACCTGTATACACACACACACCCAGATACACCTGTATACATACACAGAGATACACCTACAACACACACATACACACGGCACTGAGTCTATGAAATGCCCAGGATTTGTAATTAGTGTGCTGGCTATGTGTGTGTTCAGTTCAAACTGACCTCATGTCAGCAACACAGTGGTCCAATCTGCCCTCCTCCCTGGGACATGGACATGTCAGACTTCCAGGGGAAAAGCTGGTCTTCTGCTACCACAACCTACCCTCTGGGGATTCTAATTGTGGAGACAATTCAAGCAACCCACCCTGCTATTCCCACACTTGCTTCAACCAGCTCTTGACTTGTTTCTTTGTTTTTTAACCAGCGGTTATTAAAAGCCAGCTCCTATCCACCTCTCTGGAAGCCTCATTGTGTGGCTAGGGTAGGTGTGTTAATCCTCTTCAAAACTGTAACAGCTGGGTCCGAGAGCCAGACCAGAGCCACGACAGGTTTCTAATGGCCCCTGCCAGTTTACTGGAGGTGGCTGGAGCTAGCAAACAGCTCTCAGGTAGAACCACAGCTCAGGGGCAACCAATCAACAGGCACCCCCTTGACCCTCTGCTGGCTCAGAAGATGACCACAGCCCCCTGTTAACTACAGATGGCTTTCCCTACCCTGCCGCTGAAAAATCCCTAACCACTAGGCATCCCACCAATCAGCCCCCACCAATCAGCCGGAAGACTAATCTTTCCTCCACCAATCAGCCCCTCCCATTAATCTCCCCTCCCTGGAGTACCCCTCACTCCGATTAGAAGGAGCTTTTGACCTTTGAGTAGTCACCACACCACGTGCTACCCCAACATGTTGGAATGAAGTGTTCTTGTTTATTACACACATGTTGTTGGTCTTTTGGGGGGGTGGGCGGGGCTTCTCTCAGACCCTATCAACAACTGACTTGGAACAAACACAGACAGAAGGCTTCACTGGAAATACACTACCACGAAGAGCACTCGGATTCTTGGGAAGGGTTTTAAGATTCCCATCCTGTGAGAAAACGGGAACGAAACCAGGACACGGCCACTCCAAGGTGTGGTTGGGGAGGAGACTACAGCCAGACAACTAGAAGAGTCCAGAGCATGGAGGAAAAGTACCAGAGTGACCACAACCAGTGGTATGAACTGAGCCATGACAGGAGGGGGCCAGGGAGAGTGAGAGAGGAGGAGAGTTGAGCAGGGGGAGAGAGAGAGAGAGAGGAGGAGAGTTGAGCAGGGGGAGAGAGAGAGAGAGGATGAGAGTTGAGCAGGAGAGGACAGAGAACTAAGAGAGAATACCGTGTACTTGGTTGGGTTATATAGGGATCAGAAACCGGAGGAAGGGAAGGGAAACCCATAGGTTGGAGAGTTTGGGGTAGGGGACCCAGTTAGAAGAGCTCACAGGAGCCACAGTCACTGAGTAAGCCTGGAGGACAAGCAGACACTTTGGTATGCTAACAGACAATTGGCCACTTGAGTTTCTTTTGGATCTGCAAATAAACCACCCAGCGGGGTGCAAAGGCTTACATTTTATGAGGTTTCCTATGCTTTGATAATAATAGTCCACCCTCCACGCACCCTACTCATGATTACCAAAGGTTTCCACAAAGTAATTCATGAGTGTTAAGAATAAAAGCCAACAATCACATTGCATTTGCTATACTATCAGATGGTGCATACACTTCACTCTTTTTGTGTTTTGTTTAATTGTGTGTGTGTGTGTGTGTGTGTGTGTGTGTGTGTGTGTGTGTGTGTGTGTAAACCAGAGAACAGTTTTTTGAAAGTTGGCTCTAGCTGCCTGTTTTAGCACTTAACTCCCATCCACTTGGTAACAGCTAACTGAGAGGTTTCTGGAGGCCTGGATGTCTTGTTGGGTTAAGGATAGCTCTTCCTCCATATAGCTAAATATTTGAATATTTTGCTCTATGGTAATATTAACCCTGAAAGAACAGAAGACCACAGGAGACTGTGTGTTTATTTGTTACTCATGCGGCTCTGGAACCAGGCTGGCTGGAAGGCTGCACTCTACATATGGTGTCAGCATGTAGGATCGAATTTCCACGTAGAATGACAAAAGCTTAAAAGGGATTTTAGAAACAAAAGAATGGAGAGAAGCACAGCTTCTTGGTAGCAGCATTTTCTTAGGTTGGTTCTGTTTTGCTAGCAACAAGCAGAGACTCACTCGGCTTGATTAAGGGAATCTTCCTGACTCAGCATAAGCAAAACAAACAAAAACCCAGCAAGGTTCTTTTAAGAGACTCTGCTAATGATTGAAAGATATGTTCTGTTATATATAATTTGAGTATGTTAACGTTAAAA